TCATTGTATCTGGACACGATTATGATTATTGACAATCATCAGCATGTTGATATCTATCTGGTCTTGCATTGTTGACAAGTGTTTTCACGATCTGGGTGCATTGCAATTTGGTATCAGAGCTATACTCCCTACGATGACCTGTACGAGAACGACAAAGTGGTAACGTCTACATTAAAGATAGGTGCTAGCGTGGACAAGTGCGGGACAGTGCACGTCAGGTGCTGACGTGGCATTGGTATCCCGACAGGGGAAAGTCCAGCAGGATCGCGCTGTGATCCAGATCCCGATCAATCGTATTTGCGATCGGGATCCATTGCTGACGGGGCCGGTGATTGATGAGGAGTGTTGATGTGGCAATGCTGACTCACCACTTGTCTACTGTGGTGAGGAGCTTTGTGCAGACATGGCATTGTTTGACGTGACGCTCCATTACCTGGCTGACGTGGCATTGTACGACGCGCTGGTACCGCTCTTGACGTGTACGCCACTGAAGATGTTGACTAGACGAGGGGATACACGTGGCAGGCAGGAAAGTGCCTAACTTCGACGACGACGACGCACAGTGCTGACGTGCACCCCATTGCTAACCTTGATTGGACTGGACATGCTAACGTGGCATACTCTATGAGTTGCTGAGTTGGCATGCCAAGGGTGACAAGTGGCAGGCACTGTTGTGCCTAAGTAAGGGCTGCACTCTGATGATTGAAGTGGCACGGCTGGAAGACTGACGTGGGTGTGGTGCCAGACGTCAGATCAGGTGCTGATCACACAGGACCGGAGAAGGAGCARCAGCAAGGGGAAACACTAACTATTGTTGTGATTATTTGTTGGCGAACTTACCTGTTGTCTTTTGCTGTATTGTGCACCTGTGTACTTACTTGTRTGTGTTGATGATCATGCTGGCCTGAGTTGCGGTACCTGAAATAGAACAGACGTCATCACATAGGAAGTAGAACAACAATCAGAGTTAGTAGAAGTTTTTGTTTCTGTCATTTAATCTTTCTGTTCCGGTATTGTAAATTTCTGAGAATCAGGTGATTGCTTAAATTATTGTCTTTTCTATTTTATTTTTGCAGTAGAACAACATGGCCGACAAATTTTCTTGTTTTTGTCCTCCGAAAATGTCTCACTCCTGGAAACATTTGTGAATGTCTATTCTAACTCGATTCGTGACACCATTCCCGCTCCCTGTCTTGTTTGTGCTCTCTGTTGGTGGCGGACCTTCAGAGATCAGAACTTAGAGACATGCAGAAGAGAGGAAACAGGAATTGCTGGCACTTTGGAACCAGCTCCTCGCTGAGTTGCACTGGTCTGATCCGGATGCCGAACAACACATCCGTGGCAATTTTGATTCGCAGACGGCTGAAAATCGTCTGAAGCAAGCTACTACGGCTGTGGAGGTTGTGGCAGTCGGGACTGAAGTCTCTACGCTGGTAGCCCAGTGCCGACAAGCGCTGGACCAATTTGCATTGAAGCAGCTAGAGGAAGCAATGGAAATGTCTTGTAAAGGAGAAACAAAACCAGAAGTGACTGAAGAGACTATTGACTTGAATATCCAGCAACTTAGAAAAACGTTGGCCGCGGAAGAAAGAAAGAAAGAAGAAATAGCAAGGAGGAGAGAACAAGAACAGAGAAGGGAACAAAAAGTTAGAGAAATTAGACAAGTGATTAGAACAGAAAGTGGGGAAAAAATGGACTTTTCACAGACATTATCTCATATTATGAGTTACCTTACCTTTCTGGAAGAGAAAATTGACAGACAGCAGACTCAGTTAGATGAGATTGTTATAGGACTATAAACCATCACAAACATTATGAAAGGAAAGAAGCAGGTAGAAGGTAAGGAAGAGGAAAAAAAAGATAAGAAAGAGGTAAAGAAGTTGATGGGTGATGTCATCAAGTCTGGTGGTCTTAAAGTCCAGACATCGTCCAATGGGAATGGACCGCCGAGTCCACCTTTCTCTCCGCCTAAGTCTCCTCATTCTACTCCTTCCAAGTCTCCTTCTTTTTCGACGACTCCGGGCAAGACAAGTGAACCGGAAAAGCCAAAGAAGAAAGAGAAAGTGAAAATGAAGTTGTCTTTTACGTTTAGTAATAAGAAAGATGAGAGTCTGCCTCTATGGATTGCCGAAATCCAAACGTATGTAAGTACCGCTCCGGTCGAACTGGAGTCCCAAGTGGCATTCACCACCTCTTGCATGGGAGGTGAGGCCAACCAATGGGTGTTGGCCGAGGCTAACGTCGCGGGGTTTGAAGACATCGGCGAGTGGGCAAAGACATTAACCCTGAAACAGTTCTTGGCCAAGATCAAGGACCATTTCCTCGACAAGACAACAGCCAACGAAGCATTTGACCAGCCAACGACGATTGGTCAAAAGCATTGGACGTTGGTCGAGGCTTTGTCCCGCGAAGTCGACCGATTGCTGCAGGGTTCAAGATTGAACCTGCAAGACAGCCAAGTGTTGTACATCTACTCCCGCGCGTTACCTGAGCCTATCCGGGGACACCTGGTTGCCGAAGCGAAGTCGGGTAAGTATAACTATAGGCAATTTCGACACCTCGTTCTGGAAAGGGAGCAAATGACTTCTCAAGTCAAAAACTCCTATGCAACCGTAGTTAAGACTGGAGGAGGAGGAGGTGGGAGGACATATGATAGCAAACGAGTTATTTGGCGAGAAAAGCGCCAGGACCAGATCCTTGTTGTCTTCGATGATGACACAATGGAAAAGTGGCACAGGGAAGATGGAAATGGAAAGGATAGCAACAATGAATCCGGGAAGGGGGAAGTCATTGTTGCTGTGGCCACCAGGGGAGGGTCACCGAGAAATTTTGTAAAGAAGAAACAACTCTCGTTTCCAGCACACCCTGACATTGCCGAGGGGAAGCCTTGGTTGAAAGGAATGGACCGTGAAACTTCAAGTTGGCAGGAGCGCATGGATAATGCACAATGTCTTAAATGCGGCACACCAGGACATATGATCGCATATTGCCCTTTGATTAGAAACCCAAAAGCGAGCAGCCAGTAGAAGTAGCATCTGCTCCTACTAAGATTAAGGGTAAGGTTGAAGAGAAAGGTGAGGCGTCAACGAACCCTTCCTACTATTTTTCTCATATGGCAGAGGAGGATTCCCTAGCCCATCATCCACATCGCCCTGACATTGTCTTATGTTCTGTCTCTCCGGATGACTCCCTTGATGAGCTAGGTAATGAATTGCGAGCCTTATGTACCTCATGGGCTCGAAAAGCAAAGTCTAAGAGCGAATTGTTGTTTGCAGATGTAGAAATCGCACGATCACGAGTAGGTGCGTTGTTGGACCCCGGATCGACGAGGTCCTACATATCCGAGAAAGCAATCCGCAAGTTGCATATCGGAATGAAGGTAACAGACTTATCTCGACCAATCACGTCTATGTTAGCGTACAAGAGTACGATCACTGTACCTCAGTATGTTGATCGTACTAAGTGTCAGTTTAGAACTAGGAAAGGAAATAGGATTATGCATGAGTTGTCCTCCCTAGTAGACAAGAATTTGTCTTTTGATCTCGTTTTGGGTATGGATTGACACGAAGAAGCTAACCCAGATACTGATTTCAAAGGCAAGGTTGTGCAGCTTAAGGATGCACAATCTAAAATGAAACCTATTAAGCTATATCATAAGTCTGACTCTGATTCTAGCCTGTCTTTCTGTTGTATGAGTTATCCAACTTTTCGATAAATGGTTTCAAAGAAGAAGTTGGAACAGAAAGTTATGATGGTGTTGGTAAAGAAAGTCGGTGAGTCTTCTTCTTCCTGCCCTCCAACTATCGAAAGTCTTCTTTCTGAGTTTAAGGATCTGCTGAACCTACCGGAATTACTGAACGTGCTATTAAGCACAATATGAAGATCATTCCGGGGAGCAAGATTCCCAAGGGCCCTATCTATCGAATGTCTTCTAGGGAACTTGAGGAACTAAAGAAACAACTGCAGGACCTTATTGACAAGGGATGGATTCGCCCTAGCTCATCTCCCTATGGTGCACCTGTCTTGTTTGTGCCCAAAAAGGAAGGTGAACTGCGTCTATGTATTGACTATCGAGGGTTGAATGCCGTCACTGTCAAAAATGTCGAACCTCTTCCTCACATTGATGATTTACTTGATCAACTGCAGAGTTGTAAGTACTTTAGTAAGATTGATCTGAAGTCTGGGTATCATCAGATCGAGGTGGAACCCGCAGATCAACACAAAACCGCTTTCCGGATCAGGTATGACCATTACGAGTTTATGGTAATGCCTTTCGGACTGACAAATGCCCTTGCGACATTTCAACGGTCAATGAACGAGTTGTTTTGTCAATGGTTAAATCAGTTCGTCATTGTCTACCTTGGTGATATTCTCGTGTATAGTAAAACATTAGAAGATCACGAGAAACATCTCCGTCTAATATTAGAAAAGTTGCGAGACAACAACTTCAAGATAAATCCAACGAAGTCTGAGTTCACTAATTCGGAAGTCTTATACCTATGACATATAGTGAACGAAGATGGCCTCAGGCCAGAAGAAAAAAAAATAACAACAATTAGAGATTGACCACAATCTAAGTCTGTAACAGAACTACGATCCTTCCTTGGTTTCGCAAGTTGTTATAGGAAGTTCGTCAGAAACTTCTCACTGATTGTCGCACCAATAAGAAGATTGTTAAGAAAGAAACTATCTGGTTGTGGCACAAAGACTGTGAGTCTTCCTTTAAGAAAATAAAGTATGCTTTGAATCACTATCCTGTTCTAAAAATTGTTGATCCATCTCTTCCCTTCATTGTCACTACTGATGCAAGTTAGTACGGAATTGACGCAGTCCTTCAACAGAACGACGATAATGGTTATAGACCAATTGAGTTTATGTTTGCACGATTGTCATCAGAAAAAGTTGTCAACTCCACTTATGAAAGATAATTATATGCTTTAGTTTGTGCACCGGACACATGGAAGCACTACTTGTTAGAGAGACACCAGACCACTCGATTCTGAAGTGGATAAATACACAACCTAGACTCTCTGATAAGGTAGTAGTTAAACGTGGTTGCAGATGCGTTGTCCAGACGATGTGATTTCTTTGGTACTATTGTCGCTTACCTAGATGTTGGGAGTGATTTGAAAGATAAGATTCTCCAAGGATATGTTATTGACCTTATTTAGAAGTCTATCATGGAAGTCCTTGCGAAAGACCCGACCTTACTTCCCATGTATAGAATAACCGATGGTTTGCTTTTCTTGCTAGAGCAAATCGAACAAAGATTGTGTATTCCTTACCAGGAAGAAATTAAAAGTCTGCTGATTGGGGAATGTCACGACACTGAAGGACATTTTGGTTTAAAAAAAACTTACGCAGAGGTTAGAGAACGCTTTGAGTGGAAGGGATTGAAAGAAGACGTACTAACTTATGTTCGTACATGTTTGGTGTGTCAGAGGAACAACCATGACATGAAAATCCGCTTGGTCTTCTGAAACCACTACAAATTCCTAGTGAACCAGGTGAGTCCATCTCGATTGATTTTATGAGCCTCACCAAAAGCCGCAATGGCAATAGTCAAGTAATGGTTATTGTGGATCGCTTCTCTAAATATGTTTGTTCCCTTACCCGCAGAAGCGCGAACAAAACTTGTCATACAAAAGTTTTAGATGCGATGGGTGACTGAGTATGGTTTTCCTCTCTCTATTGTATCTGATCGTGATGTCAGGTTCACAAGTATGCCATGGCAAAAACGTATGGAAGCATACGGTACACGATTGACCATGTCGTCAGGGCGACACCTTGAAACGAATGGACAAAGTGAACAGATGAACCGTTTGTGTCAGCAGTTTTTGCGTATGTATGTAAGACCCGATCAGATTGATTGGGACGAAAACTTACCCAAGATAACAAGTGCATACAACAGTAGTGTTCATACCGCTACAGGGCGTACGCCTAATGTACTGCACAAGGGGTGGAAACCTAAGCGTTCCATTGATGTGTTAACACGGGACCCGTTTCTTAAGTTACCTCCAGAGACCCGGGAGTATGCAGTATTGTTCCAAGAAGACATTAAGAAAGTAAAGAGCAATTTGAAGAAAGTTCAGGACCAGATGATTGAACAAGCTAACAAGCATCGCCGACCATCAACATTCAAGGAAGGTGATCTAGTTTGGGTCAAGTCCAAAGAGTTTTCGTTGGAAGAAGATGTGTCTCAGAAACTTCTGCCTGTCTATTTTGGACCCTGGGAAGTTCTCAAAGTAATTGGGGATGCAGAGGAACCGTTTTATCGTATTGATATTCCCCCTCACTTCAAAACGTATTATGTCTTTCACGCGTCCAAATTGTTACCCTATGTAGAAGGAAATGAGTTCCCAAACAAACCATCTATGATTCCTCCATCTATGGAAGGCAGATATGAAGTAGACAGAATCATAGAGCATGGGTACTTTTCTACAAGTGGACATGGACGACCCCAGAAGCAGTTCAAGGTACGTTTCAAATCTCAGGCACCATCTGAGGATAGATGGTTTAGTAAACGAGAATTACTTGAAACTGCTCCTGATATTGTATCTACATATGAACGTGGGTTAAAGTCTTAGTTATTTCTGCGATTGAACTCGAAAATGGGTCGGCAAGAATGCAGTAACCCGTGTTCTGCAGCAGGCTGGGCCCTCAAAACGGAACCTAGACAACGCAGGCCAAACTCGGCCTGCACCAGGCAGTGTGACCACGCACTGCCCTTGGAAAGTCAAAAGTCCAAGTCAACTGTCAAGTCAAAGGTACCGCGCCCAGGCCCCTTGGTCGGATACACTCACTTGTTGTGCACAGGTACCCAGACAGCATCAAGGTCACAGGGAGTTCGGTTTCAAGCCTATCTGGGCCGTCCTTTGTCTGGAGATCTTGACGGCCGAGGGAAGCAGCACCCAGGGTCCAGACCCCGCGTCAACGCTACATAAGCGTTGACCTCCTGGCTTGGAGGACATTCTGTCTTGCATCAATGCTGACTTCACGCGTTGACGACGAATCAGGCTGGACACTGCGACGCTCACTGGACACTGGCTTTGCGCTGGCACTTGGGCGACTACGGCGACGCGCTGCAGGCTCGGCATGGTGGCTGGCTTGCAATTGTCTTCTGAGCATGCTGATGTGGCAGCTGCCATGCGCCGCCGCCGACGTGGCCGCTTCCACGTGTATTCTGACGTGGCGAGGCTACGCGATTGATATTGTTGTTCTGTTTCATCGACATTCGGGAGGAGATCATGACTGTGGTGATCGGAGATACGTACCTGGTTATCTTGATGTCGACATTGCTCCAGTTGCCGATGAGGGACTGATTGAGGTGCCACGTGGCACATTGTGATAGAACTTCGGATGCGCGTTCAGATTATTGATTACTGAGGTGGTGATCGAGGAGGGAGCCCGAAGCAGAAGTGG